AAAGTGCTTGGATTACAGGCGTAAGCCACCACGCACGGCCTCTCTTTGGCTCTTAAAGGTGAGCCCTCCTGGACAGCCTCTCCACAAGAGCCCCTTATAAAGGGCCAGTTGAGTTCTTTTCAGTTAATTTTAGCTAATCTTAACACATAAAGCAATTGTGTAGCTAGAGTTTTTAATTTTCCTTAAAGAGCAAGTAGATAGAAGAAAAACAGTTTTTTTTCCTTCTTAGGAGATTATAGGAGCTATTAAAACTGCACATGAAACTTCTCTGTCAAAGTGTAAGAATGAGGAGTGATCATTACAGCCTTTAATGGTTTATTTAATTGTTCTTCAGCTGGCCAATTACTTAAATACTTTTGATGATTTTGATAATCACAATTATCGAAATATTTTGAAATAATCATAATTATCAAAATATTTTGAAGCATATTTGTTACCTAGTTTATATGGGCCATGTTGACGTTTGATGAAGCTTTGCCTTTTAATGATAAAAGTGATTCTGGGTCTTTTCAATTTACATTTAATTTTATGGGCTCTTTCTTTGTCAGATGCTGAATCCTCAACCAGAGAAGACCTTTATACGAAATAAAGCCGCCCAAGTCTTTGCCTTGCTTTTTGTTACAGAATATCTCACTAAATGGCCCAAGTTTTTTTTTGACATTCTGTCAGTAGTGGACCTAAATCCAAGGGGAGTAGATCTGTACCTTCGAATCCTCATGGCTATTGATTCAGAGTTGGTGGATCGTGATGTAGTACATACATCAGAGGCAAGTAGCTAACCATGAATTTTTTATATTTAATCTAAGTTTTGTAGGAGATAATGGGCACATAATAAAAGGAGCAGAAAAGTTTTATTTCTTGAGGTAAACTTTAAGTTACATAATTATAAATTTATCTAATGTTTTGGATTTTATTTCATGAAGGAGCTCAGTCCTGGTTATTTTTTTTCCAGATGTATATTGAAGTTAAAGTGTTATGTTAAAATTTTTTTTTTGAGATGGAGTCTTGCTTTGTTGTCCAGGCTGGAGTGCAGTGGCTCAATCTTGGCTCATTGCAACCTCCGCCTCACAGGTTCAAGTGATTCCCCTCAGCCTCCTGAGTAACTGGGACTACAGGCACATGCCACCACCGCCCTTCTAAGTTTTGTATTTTTTGTAGAGACAGGGTTGTGCCAGGCTGGTCTTAAACTCCTGACCTTAGGTGATCTGCCTGCCTCAGCCTCCCAAAGTGCTGGGATTATAGGCATGAGCCAATGTGCCCGGTCTAAATTTTTAACTACCAAATGCTGTAGTGACATATACAAGTTGATTTTCTTATATGAATCTGTTGAGAAAAGTAGTCTCTATTTAATACTGCTGTAGAGTCCCTGAATAAGGAAGAAGCATTGCTTATGAATTGTCAATGCTGCTGCTTCTGTATTTTTCATCACATAGTATAAGTACTATGTTACTATATTGAGAAATAACTTACCATATGCTTAATATTTCTAAGCAATGCTTATTTATAGTTTGTGTTTAATAAGAAGTTAACTTTGGCACTGAGGAATAGAACAGAAAGAGGAAATACAAAGAATCACAGGATATGATCTTAGAGCTGGTAAATAGGAAATACTGGTAGGGAATGTGTTAACAAGTCCAAAAGTTGGATGTGGAGGAAATTACTCAGTGCACGTGTATACAGATATCAAACGTTATTTTGCGAGGTAATCTACTTTGTGCATTTGGTGTTTTGTATTTTAGGAGGCTCGTAGGAATACTCTCATAAAAGATACCATGAGGGAACAGTGCATTCCAAATCTGGTGGAATCATGGTACCAAATATTACAAAATTATCAGTATACTAATTCTGAAGTGACGTGTCAGTGCCTTGAAGTAGTTGGGGCTTATGTCTCTTGGATAGACTTATCCCTTATAGCCAATGATAGGTAAGCATGCCTGTAATTTTTGTAGTATAAACTTGTAAAATACCATATTTAAAATTCAGGACTTCGAAAATGTTACAATAATTTTATTGTCTCATTACCAGGTTTATAAATATGCTGCTAGGTCATATGTCAATAGAAGTTCTACGGGAAGAAGCATGTGACTGTTTATTTGAAGTTGTAAATAAAGGCATGGACCCTGTTGATAAAATGAAACTAGTAGAATCTTTATGTCAAGTATTACAGTCTGCTGGGTTTTTCAGCATTGACCAGGTTGGTAAACTTATATAAAATTATATATAAAGTTGTTAGAACAAACTGGGATAGGTTCTAAGTTAAATATAATAATAGTTTTTTCTATTTTTTCTAAATGTTATAAACTGTCCTTGAGATTATAATATAAACCGCTGCATCTAACCAAAATGTTTTTAGTAGCATTCTCCTTGGAGAACAGATTATACCAGTTCTTAAACTTGAAAGTCTTGGGTGGCGCCTGCAGTTGCACATTTCTTACAAACTCCCAGGAGATGCTGACACAACTTGTTCATAGTGGAATTTTTTTTTTTTTTTGAGTTGGAGTCTTACTCTGTTATCCAGGCTGGAGTACAGTGACATGATGTCAGCTCACTGCGCCCTCTGCCTCCTGAGTTCAAGTGATTCTCCTGTCTCAGCCTCCCGAGTAGCTGGGATTACAGGCGCACACCACAACACCTGGCCAATTTTTTGTATTTTTGGTAGAGACGAGGTTTTACTGCGTTAGACCGGTCTCGAACTCCTGACCTCAGGTGATCCACCTTCCTCAGCCTCCCAAAGTGCTGGGATTATAGGCATGAGCTACTGTACCCGGCCTGGAATTATTAAATATGTAATGTTATTTTAAAATTGAATCCTTTAATTAGCAATTGATTCATATTAAAGTTCAGTTTTTTTCTCTTACGCTTTAGTGTAGGTGGTTTTAAATGGAGATGTGTCTTGATTGCTTGTAGGAAGAAGATGTTGACTTCCTGGCCAGATTTTCTAAGCTGGTAAATGGAATGGGACAGTCATTGATAGTTAGTTGGAGTAAATTAATTAAGAATGGGGATATTAAGAATGCTCAAGAAGCATTGCAAGCTATTGAAACAAAAGTGGCACTGATGTTGCAGCTACTAATTCATGAGGATGATGATATTTCTTCTAATATTATTGGATTTTGTTATGATTATCTTCATATTTTGAAACAGGTAAGTTTTTGTTTTATTCTTTTTACTCAGTACATAATACAAAGGAGCCATGGAGAAGTGGGAAATGTAGAAAAATTAAAAACAAGAAAATACCCATAATTCTACTACCTAAAGATATTTACTGTTAAATATTAATGTATTTCCATCTTATTAAAAAAAAAACTTGGCCAGAAAATAGTTTCAGGTTCTAAATTCAGTAGACTAACTAGCTTCAGAGTTAGCTATAGATGTAGGTTATTTTTTAGTTTTGAACCTGTATTTACTCGTGAATATAGTTGAAATTTTCATAAGCATGGTTTGTTACCTTGATTTACATATACACCATTCATTTCTTATAAACAATTTTTTACAATTGAAGTTTTCCCCACTTCCAGAAAGAACTTGTAGGTGGTGTTAGTTTCTATAGTATAGCATTTAGCAATTAAAAGAGTTAGTAACTTATCAATATGATATTAGATGAAAGAGCCATTTCTGTATATTTGCATTGAATTAATTGCATCAAGTTAAGCTTAAATACCTTTCCAAATGACTTTAGTTTCTGTTTTATTGTAATAAACATAACATGTATCTTTACATATATTTTAAGAAATTACATGCATTGTGGAAAGGTATGATCACTATTGGTAACCCCATCGTACATCTCCCAACTAACTTGGGAAGCTGATGTGGGAGGATCACTTGAGCCAGTGAGTTGGAGGTTGTAGTGAGCCATGACTGCACCACTGCACTCCAGCCTGGCAATAGAGCAAGACCTTGTCTCAAAAAGTCTTTATTGATTAGAAAAATGTTCTGATATGCAGGTGTAACTTTAGGAAACCTAATAAGTTACTGCTTTCTTTTTAACAGCTTACAGTACTCTCGGATCAGCAAAAAGCTAATGTAGAGGTAAAATTGACTTTATGTTTCTTTTAAACCAATGACAGATTCTTTGTAATTTCCCTTGAATTGGCCGGGCGCGGTGGCTCATGCCTGTAATCCTAGCACTTTGGGAGGCCAAGGTGGGTGGATCACCTGAGATCAAGAGTTCAAGGCCAGCCTGGCCATCACGGTGAAACCCCATCTTTAAAAAAAAAAATTGCCTTGAATTATAGCTTAATTTCAAATTATATCAAATTAGAAGGAGACAGACAACTATTTTCTTCTCAATTTTATTCTTAGGCAATCATGTTGGCCGTTATGAAAAAATTGACTTATGATGAAGAATATAACTTTGAAAATGAGGTAAGAACTTTTTTGTTGAGGAGTTTTAATTTTATTGTTTATTTATATCAAATTAATATTTCAAGTTTTGAGTGCGGTGGCTCACTCTTGTAATCCCAGCACTTTGGGATTCCAAGGTGGGCGGATCACAGGGTCAGGAGTTTGAGATCAGCCTGTCCAATATGGTAAAACCCCATTTCTACTAAAAAATACAAAAATTAGCCGGGCATGGTGGTGCACACCTGTAATCCCAGCTACTCAGGAGGCTGAGGCAAGAGAATTGCTTGAACACAGGAGGCAGGGGTTGCAGTGGGTTGAGATGGTGCCACTGCACTCCAGCCTGGGTGACAGTGAGACTCTCTCTCTCGAAAAAAATTCAAGTTTGTATTGTTTTGGGGCCCTTTAAAACATGAAGTTCTTGAAAAATTAGTTCATTTATATTGATACCAACCTTGGGTGAAATTAATAAAACCTCTTCCATTTTGATATTTTATCCATTAACAACACCTCCTTTTTTTTTCTTTGAGACAAAGTCTCACTTTGTCACCCAGGCTGGGATGCAGTGGTGCCATCTCAGCTCACTGAAACCTCTGTCTCCTGGGTTGAAGTGATTCTTGTGTCTCAGCCACCTGAGTAGCTGGGATTAAGGCATGTGCCATCATGCCAGCAATTCTTGTATTTTTAGCAGAGATGGGGTCTTACCATGTTGGCCAAGTTGGTCTCAAGCTCCTAACCTCAAGTGATCTGCCTGCCTAAGCCTCCCAGTGCTGTGATTACAGAATTAATCTGTAATTAATCCTGTCTGGCCCATTAATAGCCCTTTTACAAATGCTTTGTAGCATTGAACATAGTAAAATATTAATGTTAGTGATCATATTTCACTTTATATTTTATTGGAATGGTGAACTCCGGTCACAAGAGTGTACTGGCAGAGTGGAAATGAGGCACTGTAGACTTGTTCCAGTTAAAAGTCTTTTTCAGAATTGTGAGGGGGTCAGCTTCCCATCAAACATAAGGGCCATTGGTGCTTTCTAGGTATTCAGTCATGGTATTTGCTGCTAAGCTATGTTCTGAAGTGTTGTATTCCCTACCACAGGCATTCAAAAACTTAGGGTTATAAAAGGATAATGGTGGTAATGATGAACACACTGCACACTTGGGATGTGCCAGGCTCCTCACATTGAATATCTCCAGTTATACCATATTATTACCATTTCGTACAATGGACATTGACTCACAAGAATAAAAGTGCAAAGGTCTCAAAGCCCATTCTGGCGCTAGACTATTGTCTTTAACCTTGTTAGACTATTTCTGGCTTTAGGCTTTTGAGACCTATAGCTGTGTGCAGGAATACTTATTTATGAGGCAGAGGGAAGAAGTTACTAAGCATAATGTTTTCCTATGTAAATAGTGACAACATTTAAAAGTACGAAATATGTAAATGCAGAAGAATACAGAACTGGATATTTTCATGAATTTTAAGGTCTTTTAAGTTTTTTAAATGAGGATTTCAACCTGTATCATAGGGTGAAGATGAAGCCATGTTTGTAGAATATAGAAAACAACTGAAGTTACTGTTGGACAGGCTTGCTCAAGTTTCACCGGAGTTACTTCTGGCCTCTGTTCGTAGAGTTTTTAGTTCTACCCTGCAGTAAGTTTGTCATTGCTTTTGTAACAAGCTTACTACTTCTTTTGCTTTTTGATATGGGTCAAAATAAACAAGTTTACTTCTTTCACTCTTATTAGTTCATGTTACTTATTGAAATCTTATGTGTATTTCTGGAAACAATGCACTTGTCTTCTTGACTTATCTTGATCCTTTCTACCTTTGTCATGTATATTATGTTGCCTGAGAAAATTAACAATTGCTGTGACTTTTTAATTATTAAAAAGGCTTTTGTTGGTGTCTTACCCTGTGCATAATTTGCTGTATGAAAAATTTACCTTCAAATCTCACTGACATATTATACCTTGGTAGGAATTGGCAGACTACACGGTTTATGGAAGTTGAAGTAGCAATAAGATTGCTGTATATGTTGGCAGAAGCTCTTCCAGTATCTCATGGTGCCCACTTCTCAGGTGATGTTTCAAAAGCTAGTGCTTTGCAGGATATGATGCGAACTGTAAGTATACTGAAGATAATTTATTTTGAACATAAATTTTCTGTTTTCAGTATAAGCTAATGGAAGTTACTTATTAGAACTTAGTATATGTTAATACTGGGGCATTTTGATGTAATAAATAAGAGGTTTCTTAACTTTTTCCTGCTCTAGCTGGTCACATCTGGAGTCAGTTCCTATCAGCATACATCTGTGACGTTGGAGTTCTTTGAAACTATTGTTAGATATGAAAAGTTTTTCACAGTTGAACCTCAGCACATTCCATGTGTATTAGTAAGTATACATTTTTACTCTGGATTTTTGTTACTTTCTGTGAATTTCAGCTAATGAGTTGATAGTATCGTATTTTTCTGTCTATAACTTTTTTCATAGTCAAAAGCTCTCAGGAACGCTTGGCACATACTGAAAGTAACCCCTCCTCCATTTCTTTTAGATGGATAGTTTCTGCCCAATTAGTCATCTTAAACTAGCTCTCAAGCGTCTGTGTGTAGTTTAGAATTACTTTTATATTCCTGGTCCCTGCCTTTTAGGAGCTAAGAAGTAAAATTTGGTGTGAACAAAAATGTAGTATGACAATATCAACAAAAGTGTTGAAAAAGGGCAGAAATAGTAAAAGTACCTCTTTCTTTAGATGGCTTTCTTAGATCACAGAGGTCTGCGGCATTCCAGTGCAAAAGTTCGGAGCAGGACGGCCTACCTGTTTTCTAGATTTGTCAAATCTCTTAAGTAAGTATAAAATTGCAGCTATTATGTTTAGTTATTTTTTAAGTTAATGAATAGCTGTAAAACAATAGTAAAGACAGAATCAACCTAGGTGCCCATCAATGGTGGATTAGATAAAGAAAATATAGTACACATACACCATGAAATACTAAACAGCCGTAACAAAAAACAAAATCATGTCTTTTGCAGCAACGTGGATGCAGCTGGAGGCCTTTCTCCTAAGCAGATTACTGCAGAAACAAAAAACCAGATGTGACATGTTCTCATTTATAAGTAGGAGCTAAATCTTGTATACACACAGGCATAAAGCTGGGAACAAAAGACACTTGGGACTCCAAAATGAGGGAGAGAGTGGGGCAAGTGCTGAAAAACTTCCTGTTGGGTACTGTGTTCAACATCTGGGTGATGGGATTGGATCAATGGAAGCACAAACCTTAGCATCCCATGACATACCCTTGTAACAAACCTCCATGTGTACCCCCAAATTTAAAATGAAGTTGGAGGCCTGGCACAAAAGGTGGCCCATGCCTGTAATCCCAGTGCTTTGGGAGGCCGAGGCCAGTGGATCACCTCAGGTCAGGAATTTGAGACTAGTCTGGTCAACATGGTGAAACTCCCTCTCTACTAAAAATACAGAAAATTAGCTGGGCATGGTGATGGGTGCCTGTCATCCCAGCTACTTGGGAGGCAGAGGCAGGAGAATTACTTGAACCAGGGAGGCAGATTTGCAGTCAGCCAAAATCATGCCATTGTACTCCAGCCTGGGCAACGAGAGTGAAACTCTTTCAAAAAAATAAAATGAAGATGGAAATGAAAAAAAAAAAAGAAGACATAAAAATTATTTTCTAGGGGCCGGGCGCCGTGGCTCACGCCTGTAATCCCAGCACTTTGGGAGGCCGAGGCGGGTGGATCATGAGGTCAAGAGATCGAGACCATCCTGGTCAACATGGTGAAACCTCGTCTCTACTAAAAATACAAAACATTAGCTGGGCATTGTGGCGCGTGCCTGTGATCCCAGCTACTCAGGAGGCTGAGGCAGGAGAATTGCCTGAACCCAGGAGGCGGAGGTTGCGGTGAGCCGAGATCG